CACCAATTTCACCTTCTGACTTGACCATTGATTTAGGTGGGTTCTAACCTAGGCACCAGAGTTACTTCATAGGAGAGTTTCCAACTCCAAAACTTCTTCATCACAAAGTCCACCTCAGTGCCATTGTCTCTGTCAGCTCAGCTGTTTGGGGCTTGGTTAGTTCAGTTGGCCAGATGACTATTCTAGGTTAGCTAGTTCAGTTGGCTATTCAGCTGGTGCAGAATAATCAGCATGGTTTCAATTCCTATACCAGCCGTAATAGTTCATGGAAGCCAGCCTCCTCACCTTACCCCATGTTTGTGGAGTGACTACCCTCAAACTACTTATAGCCAATTGTCTCTTTAATGGACAGCGATGCCTAAGGTCCTTCGTGGACGACGGTTCTTAACATCAGCCCATCTGCTGCAGAAACCAACATCTATCCTTTGTCATCTCCTGCTTTGGATATTGTATTACTGTGCTGGCTAGCCTCCTGATCTCCATCCTCTATAAACTTCAGCTTGTGTGATCTTTGTTGACCATGTTCAATTCCATTTCTCTGCTACTTCAGTTCTCTTTCATTTACATTGGCTCGCAAACACCTGAAATTCCAAATTTGCTTCATATTTAAATCACTTCATGGTCTTGGTCCCTGTATTTTCCTCCTGCTTTACAAGTTGTGTACCAATGCCCCACCAAAAAGAACTCTGTTCCTCGAACTCCAGCCCAATATCCCATCATTGGTAGCTGAGCGTACACCTATTTATGCAGAATCATACAATCCCTACAGTGTGGAAACAGGCTCTTCGGCCCAACAAGTCCACACCGAACCTCAGACCAACCCACCCAGACCCATTCCCCTGTAACCAACCTAATCTACACAGCCCTGAACATTATGGGCAATCAAACATGGCCAATCCACCTAACCTGCACATCTTTGGACTGTGGGAGGAATCTGGAGCACCCGGAGGAAACCCACGCATACACGGGGAGAGTGTACAAACTCCACACAGACAGTCGCCTGAGAGTGGAATCGAACCCAGGTTGCTGGCGCTGTGAGGCAGCAGTGCTAACCAGTGAGCCACCGTGCCGCCCTTCCTGGTGCATGCTCCATCAAGAGACGGTCCAGAAAGCAGGAAACAAATTTGTACTCCGCCATCCCCTCTGACTCTTGACTTCCAGTTGTCTTTTATGCTTTTCTTTTAAATCCATATTTTTTATTTTTTTGTCATTCTTCTCGACAATTCATTCTTCTTGTCATTTTTTGCTCTGGTTCTCTATGTCTCTCTATAGAAATCAATGTTGTCATTAATGGAAGTTAGATTTGCCAGATACGATCAGAAAAGTTACATTATGAAACAGAAACGGAAAGTGCTGGAGAAACTCAGCAGGTCTGGTAGCATCTGCGAAGGGAAAACAGAGTTAACGTTTCAAGTCCTGTATGGCTTCTTCAGAAATGAAGAGTAGAAGTCAACATTCCACCAAATCACATCTCTTTCCCACCTCTAAGCTTGTCATAGAGTAATACAGCATGGAAACAGGACCTTCGGCCCAAACTGGTCCATGCTGACCATTGTCCCTGTCAGCTAGTTCCAATTGCCTGCATTTAGTCCATATCCCTCTAAACACTTCCTATCCATGTACCTATCTGAATTTTTTTTTTAAATGTTGCTATTGTACCTGCCTCAACCACTTTCTCTGGCAGCCCATTCCATTCATACAACACTCTGTACGTGAAGAAGTTGCCACTCAGGTCCTTCTTAAATCTTTCCCCTCTCACCTTAAACCTATGCCCTCTAGTGTTCAATTTCCCATCCCTGGGAAAAAGACTATATGCATTCATCCTATCTATGCCCCTCATGATTTTATATACCTCAATAGGGTCATCCCTCATTCTCTTATGTTCCAAGGAATAAAGTCCTATCCTGGCCAACCCCTCCCTATAACTCAGGCCAACTAGCCCTGGCAACATCCTCATAAACCTTCTTTGCACACTTTCCACTTTAACCAGGTCTTTCCTATAACAGAAAGGTTACCAAAACTGTACACAATACTCCAAGTGCGGCCTTACCAACGACTTATACAATTGTAACATATCGTTCCAACTCCTATACTCAATGCCTCCACCGATGAAGGCCAGCATGCTAAATGCCTCCTTCACCACCATGTCTACTTGTGACGCCACTTTCAATGAACTATGTACTTGTACTACTAGGACCCTCTGTTCCACAACACTCCCCAGGACATTACCATTTACTGTGTAAATCTTACTCTGGTTTCACTTGCCAAAGTGTAACACCTCACAGTTATCTGTATTGAATTGCATTTGCCAATCCTCAGCCCACTTCCCCATCTGATCAAGATCCCTCTGTAATTTTTGATAACCTTCCTCGCTATCGACGATACCTCCTAATTTTGTATCATCCACAAATTTACTAACCATGCCTTGTATATTCACATCCAGATCATTTATGTAAATAACAAATAAGAAGGGTCCCAGCACCGACCCCTGTGGCACACCACTAGTCACAGGCCGCCAATGTGAGAAACAATATTCAACCATCACCCCCTGCTTCCTGCCACTGAGCCAATTTTGATTCCAATTAGATAGCTCTCCCTGGATCCCGTGCAACCTAACCTTCATGACTAGCCTGCTGTGCGGGACCTTGTCAAAGGTCTTACTAAAGTCCAGAGACAACATCCACTGTCCTACCCTCATCTAACCTCTTGATTACCTTTTCAAAAAAGATTTGCCAGACATGACTTTCTGCGCACAAATCCATGCTGACTATCCCTCATCAGACCTTGACTATCCAAATGTTGGTTGATCCTGTCTCTCAGTATCCACTCCAATAACTTGCCTACCACTGATGTCAGACTCACTGGCCTGTAGTTCCCTGGCTTGTCTTTGCTACCTTTTTTAAAACAATGGAACGACATTAGCCACCCTCCAGTCTTCCGGAACTTCACCAGTGGCTAAAAATGAAGCAAAAATCTCTGCAAAGGCCTCTGCAAAGGCCTCTGCAATTTCCTCCCTAGCCTCCTACAACATCCAAGGATGGACTTGATCAGGCCCAGGGGATTTATCCACCTTAATGCACTTTAATGCTACAGACACCTCCTCTCTGGTAATATGTATGTGGTCCAAAACATCTCCACTTGTTTCCCTTATTTCCTTAGCATCCATGATTCTCTCCTCAATAAACACTTAGGAGAAATATTCATTAAAAATCTCCCCCATCTCCTGTGGCTCCACACATAGACGGCCATGCTGATCTTTAAGGGGACCTATTCTCTCCCTAACCATCCTTTTACTCTTAATATAGTTATAGAACCTCTTGGGATTATCTTTAACCTTATCTGTCAGATCCATCTCAGATCATCTTTTTGCTCTTCTGATTTCCCTCTTAAGTGTGCTCCTACACTTTTTTATAGTCATCGAGGGATTCACTTCAGCCCGATAGCTTAAACCCAATGTATACCTTCTTCTTTTTCCTGACCAGAGCCTCAATATCCTCATCAGCTAGGGATCCCTAAACCTGCCAGTTTTTCCCTTCACCCTAACAGGGACATACTGTCCTTGGACTCTTGATATCACTCTTTTAAAAGCCTCCCATTTGCCAGTTGTTCCTTTTCCTTCAAACAGACTCAGCCAATTGACCTTTGCTAGATCCTGCCAAATGGCCCCAAAATTGGCCCTGCTAGTGTTGAGCACCTTAACGTGTGGACCTGACCTATTTTGTTCCATAACTATGTTAAAACAAAGAGAGTTATGGTCACTGGTCATTAGCAAGAAGAGAAGATTCTATTCTTAAGTGCCATACTCAGGGGTGGGTCCCCTGCTTTCTGGGCTGATCTGCCATTTTAAACACGACCAAGAGGATTTTGGTCAGGCTGATTCACCCTTGGGCTGTTTCCTGGAGCGTTCCGAGTTGGAAGAACTAACTGCCTGCAAGTGATGGGTGACCTAGTGAGGCCTTTTGTCAGAGACTGACTGGAATTTTCTAGCCTGTTTTCTGGCACCCACAGTGTTGGAGACTAGGCCAGCTGCCTGATGGTGGTCTCCCAGTGACAGACCAGGTTGGTGGAGGGGCAGGTATTCTATACAAACATTGAGACCCCTCCAACCTGACTGGATACTGCTGCAACCTCAGCCTAACCTGCAGAGAGGAATCTAATCGACAATGCTGACCCTGTTGTTGTGATATTTCGAAATCTGTAAGTCCAAATATTTGGAGAGAGGCACCTCAATCAAAGTGGAAGCACCTTCTCTCTATGTTAAGCAACTGCTGCCACTGTTCCTTCCAAATTCAAGGGCCTCCTATTGGCTGTACAGCTTTGAGATCCCATCCACTGCCCTTAATTGGATGTGAGCCTGCTCACTGGCCATTAATTGGCCAATTCAGGGAAAATCCCTGTTGGATGAGTGCTTCCCCAACTGTGTGGCATCATGATTGCTTTTAACCCTAGCACTGGAAGTCCAATCCCAAACCCAATCTCTTGCCCAGCAGTACAACATGAAAGCGTACAACTTGCAACAAAAAAACCCTTAAGTAAAATTTCTAGAGCGAGAATCCATGAAAATTCCTTGTGGAAACGATTCAAATTTGGGAGGACAGTGGCACCAATATAGACAACCATACAATGGCAATGCTTTGTGCACGAATCTGTACGGTGTCACTACCAGGGAATGAGATTTATGAACTGACGATGACAAAGGGTGAGTTAGCATTGTGAATTGGACCTGCATGAGAAAGTATTGAAGAATGGACTCTAAGGGGAAGTTGCTGACAGGGTGCTATGCATATTCTTACAAGAATTGAGGTTCTGAGGCCTGCTCTCACAACCAGTCAGTCAGTCAATAGCAGCAGTCAGGAAAGGGCGGACATATTTACCCTTTAAATTGTGAAGAGTTACTGATTGTTTCCAATGGGCTACAGGAAGATCATATTCTAACTTTCACATCATAGTATTAGTTTTTACAAACCACTTGACACTGAATTAACTGTACACTTCGAGTATTTACGAGTAAAAAGAATATATGATTTTATGGTTCAAAATATATTACCATATTACACACACTAGTGATGGATTGCAGAACTCAATGTTTCAAATAATTATTATCTCTTTCTGTTGAAAGGTAACAAATCTCTGATGGGTTTAAAAGCTTTGATTGAAATCATCCTAAATGTGTTGTCATTTTATTTCATTCTTTTCCTTGACAGAAGTTGTTTGTTTGGTGTGTGACCCTGAAGAGAAGTAATTTATTTTCGATCTTTTACCAGTTTCCCTGTTTTCACGGCAGTTACATTGGATTTGTCATCTTATTTCACTTCGAGTTCCAGGTCATCTTCTTCACTGATTGTTTCTGCAGAGTCATCAGGGTTATACGCTGAGCTGAGCTTCATTCCAAACAGTGAACTTGTCTGCTGTCTTCTTAACCTATGTAAAAAGGATCAAGATCACTATAATATTTTGGTTTAAGCTTCCAAGTAGGAGCTTTATTTGGTCAACCGAGTGAAAACACATTGCTAAGATATGATGAGATCTATATTGGCGGAGTTTATATTTTTCCAATACACAGTGCCACAAACTGTCCCTGTAGAGACATATCTCACACTCTTAAGTCCAGGGAGCTAAAGCAGAGGTTATCAAATTCTGGGATGAGGAATTCTGAAGTGTGCATTGGAATATTGATAGAATTAAAAACCATGTGGCTTGCAATATATAGTAGTTTAGCCACTGACTCTATCCTCTGCACTGGCCACAGTCTGAAACTGAACCAAGCTGTTAGGGGTCCAATTTGATCCTCTAAGAGAGTTTCTGACCTCATATCCACTAGTCTATGAAGACCAGAGAGTTCCATATCCATAATATTGTGCATCTCTCTCCACGCCCCAGCTCACCTGCTGCTGAAGCCCTCACGCAAACTTCTGTCACCATTAAATTTGAATATTGCAATGTCCTCCTGGCCAGCAACCCCACCCCCAACTCTTGATTTAATTGTCAACACCGTGATTTAAAAATCAGAATCCTTGTTTTCAGAAGTTTACCCTTGCTTTGCCCTCCCTATCTCTGCAACCTTCTCTAACTCTACAACGTACTGACTCCCTGCTTTCCTCCATCTGTGGCTTCTTGATCATTACTAAATTCCTTTATCATTGCCACTGGTGATTGTGCCTTCAGCTACCTGGACCCTGAGCTCTGGAATTTGCTCCCCAGCCCTCTGTTTCTCTTTCCTCCTTTAAGATGCTTCTTAAAACCCACCACTTTGGCCAAGTTGCTTTAGTATCTCCTCAGAAGGCTTGGTGTCAAATTGTATTTGCTAATTGCTCCTGTGAAATGCCTGAAAGCATATTTCTAGAGTAAAAATTAGTAAAAATTCTAGAGTAAAAGTTCTTGATGTTGTTAGAAGATTGGCACAAGCAGAAAAAGATTAATCCAAACTTTATTCACATTTAAGCAAAATAGAATGGTAATTACTTATCATGTTATCATTCAAACAATTACATTTATTAATTTCAAGTTCGTCCACTCACTATTTAAATAGAGAGGTGAACCCATTAAGACCAATTGGTTGAACATGCTTTTGTGGATTTAAGGCCCAACATTTTATGTGATTTTACTCTTCAACTAATTCTAAACTATTAAAGTGTTATTCAACTTTGTTCAGCACAGTCAATGAAGGTTGTCTCATTAAAGGGCTAGCTTTCAAATGGTATTTTTAATACTTGTCTCTGTTGTCCACGAAATGGTCAATTTCAGTTTTCCACACTGGATATGTATCTGCATTGTTTTACTTTCAGATTGGTTATTTTCTATGATTGATATGCTTACCGAACATACTACATACAAAAATTTCCCCCAATTGCACTAAAAATCTGTCCAATCACATAAGAAGAATAATTCTGAGCTACTCAATCAAAATTCCTCAAAGTAGAGTCTGTAAAATAGAAAGACTTGCATTCATATAGTACTTTTCACATTCTCCGGGTGTCCCAAACTGTTTTACAGCCGATTAAGTACCTTTGAATTCAATGATGTACTGTAGAAATAATATAATAATCATGTAACAAGTTCCAATACTCTGGAAAGACCATACAGTTATTCATCCCATGATCATCTTCCACACTCCAGTTCTCAGGCACCACAGTGTAATCTACCCTCCATTGTAACTGCTAGCAAGACACACTCATACCAAATATTAAATTGATATTTTAGTGGTTGGCCTCATGCCAGAGACCTTTGTTAATCAAAACAAGGACACTTGACTGAAACCAAAAGTGGCTGCCACAATTTGCATCATCGTATTGAGATAAAACAAATAACTGCAGATGCTAGAGATCTGAAACAAACAGAAATGGCTGGAGAAACTCAGCAGGTCCAGTAGCATCTGTCAAGAGAAAACAGTGTTAAGATTTCATATCCAGTGACTATTTTTAAAACTCATATCAGCGAGGAAATTGTAGTATTTATGCTGTTTCTGTTTTTGTTTACATTATTATGTGGTCCACTAGTTTGGAGAGACAGGGTCAATGAAGACCCCAACACCATCTAAAAGGCACAGGAGTGTAATGAAATACTCCTTACTGGAGTGCAGCTCCAACAACACTCAGGAAGCTGGGCACTCTCCAGGGAAAAAAGAATTGCTTTGACTGGCACCCTGTCTAACACCTTCACTTCCTTCACCATCAGCACACAGAGACAACAGTGCATACCACACAGAAGACCCACCGCAGCAACTCATCAAGGCCCCTTGGACAGCATCTTCCAAACTCAGTACTTCTTTCGCGTTGAAGCACAAGGTCAGCAGATTTACAGCAACACAATGAGCTGTAAGTTCCCCTCCAAGCCACATACTTTCCTGACTTATTTATGTATAAAGCTATAACCATTTCTTCAGTATTACAAGGTCAAAATCCTGGAACTCCCCCTTTAACAGCACCATAAATGTCCCTGCATCCAAGAACTGCAGCGGTTCAGGAAGGGGGATCACTACATCTTCTCCAGGGCATTTAGGCCTGGTCAATAAATGCTGCCCTAGTCAGTGATGCCCACATCCCATGACTGAATAAATGAAACATTTAGCCTTTCCGTTTTTCATGGGAACATTAACAAAATTAAGCTGGAATCCTCTTAATTGTCTCAGCTAGATTTTTATGCAATTTCCAAGACTTTGAACGCAATTTGCGGAAGTTGCTGAAAGTATTGAAAATAATTGCAATTTACTTCAAGTGTAAACAAATATATTAAACTAATGTACCACATTCATGTATTTTTGCCTTCAAAGATCTTACCTAAATTAATCATTAAACCTGCACCAAAAACATTTTCTAAATTAAAAGGAAGGTTTTAACTGGGACTCTGTCATTTCTTTCAGAAGACTATCCAAATGAATTCACAGAAGATGGATTGCAGTGAAAGTGCAGGAATTGTTGTAAGATAGCACAACTGCAAATGCTTCCAAACAGCAGAAGGGCGAGTTAGAGTGTGACAATCAGCATTTCATAATTAACATGTGTTTTTCTGTGTTTGCTGCCAAATAAAACTATTGAATGATTTAAATTTCTAAGGTATTGGCATGTGACTCCATAATACATTTCTTCCCCTGTGGTTGCCTAAACTGAAAAAAGAACTTCAATATCTGCTGAGGCTAGCAGGTGGGGGAGGCATCTAGGTAAACAGATGCTATTCTGAAAAAGCACCAGAGAACAACCATTTTATGAATTAAATTAATTGTAAGCTCTGAATTTGTGAAGAAGTAACTTACAAAAAAAGTTAGTCGTTGTTTGTGCTCTCTACTTTGTAAAATAGACCTCTCCCATAAATATTTTTAAAAACTATTTCATAATTCAGTTTTCAAATATACAGGGGGCTCTCTAATATTAAGTGTATATTTATTAAAATCTGCATCAGTTGCAGTAAAGATACAATCTGCATTTTCACATTATGAAAATAACTGTGGGTTATTGTATATGCTGCAGAGCTAGTACAAGTAAATAAATATGCCTGCAGTGCATGTTTTATGCAGTATTTCTTACCTGGTCCCTTTTTATTAGTCAAAATTCAGCATGAATTTAAATAACATTCTCCACACAGCAAAACTATTGCGCAGGTGTAGCGATCTTTTATGCATGTGCAGCTACATTGTAGAGCAGCTACACCACTTTATTAGTAGGCACCATTATAGGAAAGGTAAAGGTTTTAATGGTTCTCTTTGTTCCATAGCTACCAAAATCTTTTGTTCTAACTAGCAGGTATAATCTCAATTATTTTTATGGTGCAGAGGAATTGCAATCATCAAAGTTATGGCCAGGATTTGCTGTGTCTTTTTTGTACATGGTGAGGAACTGTTCGAGATCATTTCATCTCGTTAATATCCTCAGACTCCAGGTTATTACCTGCACTGTGTCTATCACTTCCAGAAAATATGTTTATTTGATGTCCAAAGCAAAGTCATAATTATAAGACCATAAGTCACAGGAACAGAAGAAGGGCATTCAGCCCATCGAGTCCCCTCTACCATTCAATGAGACATGGTTGACCTAATAATTCTCACCTCCACTTTCCATGTCTTTTCCCCATGACTCTTGATTCCCTTCCAAATTAAAACTCTATCTCAGTCTTGAATATATTTAATAACCAAGCCTCAACAGCTCTCTGTGGTAAATAATTCCGCAGATTCATTAATCTCGGAGAAAAGAAATTCCTCCTCAACTGTCTTAAATGTGTGATCCCTCAGTCTGCAATCATGATTCCACAAGTGGAAACAACCTTTCAGCATCTACCTTGTTAAGTCCTGTAAAAATCTTGTATGTTTCAGTAAGTTGACTCCAGTCTGGTGGACCATTCACCAAAAAAATGTCAAGAATCAAAATATCTCAGGGGAGTATGTTGTTAATGGTATAGCAATTGTATTGTTAATATGCATTGGTGAATTTGATTTTACAATTAAGTACCTAGAACAATTATAAAGAGAGGCGGAAAGATCAAGGGAAGCAGGGAATCATAAGTAGAAAACAGTCATTTGTAATGCTGCATTCTATGCACAAAAGTATTGTCAAGAAACGGATCAGTTTCTAGCTTCATATTTAACCAACTGGCTTGCAATCAAATTAGCACGTTTCCACCATCCCAGGAAAAAGGGTTCAAACCTTAAGAGCTCGCACTTATTTTAATAATTTTAATCTGCCATTTCAAAGACCTACGTTATTATTTAATTGAAGCAAGAAGTGATCAAATATTGGTGTGGATCTTCAGTTGAAGGTACAAGAAATAAGACCCTCTGTTAGCAAAACTAAACAGCACAAAGAATCGTGTGTGTGTTTTGCAGAATGGTCCTAATATAACAATGTCAGGTTGTGTTGTGCTGTGTCTCATGGTCAGTATGTTAGTACACCTTTAAGAGAACACTAACCAAATCATCACTGAATCATAGCATC